GCCAGACTGCGGGGACGCCGAGGGGCTGAGCCCCCGCGCGCTCACGAAAATGCCCCTAGAAACTTAAGCCCTTCGCCATTTTAAGCACAAGAGCCTGGTGATTTAAAACTTAAAATAAACACCCCGCCCCCACCCCGAGTGGGGGCGCGTTTCCCAGCCCGCCCCGCGCAGCCACCCGGACCCCCGAAGCCCACCCCTCACGACATAGGGCGGGAGGGGGAGATCGGGGCTGAGTCATCTCACCTCCTCCGGGGCTCTGTTCTTCAACTCCAGGTTAATCTTCTTCTTCATCTCCATGTCCTCCTTCTTTCCCCTCGCGCGCCCTCCCCACTGCCCCCAACCCTATAAAACCTCTAAAGGTCTGGAGATGAATGAAAAGAGACACCAAGACGGACGCCCACTACCACCCGGGTATGGGGGAGAAAGAAAGGAATAGCAAATGGAGTCCGACGACTTGGGACGAACTCGGCTGCCCCCACCTTCTAGTCCACACACCCGCGCGCGCACACACGGGCACGCACACACATTCACACACAGAGACACGCGCGCGCCCGCAGTTCCTTCCCCTTCAATGGCTGCTGCGAGACTGAGCCTCCATGACACGGCACCGCCAACCCCCTGGCCTACACTCCGCCCACCTCCCGACGGCATTGGCCGAGTCTTCAGCGTCGCGCGGCCTCATTGGGTTAGAGGACTGCCCGTCTGTCTTTGGGGGGGCCCTGGAGCAGAAACTCCGCGCCTATTGGCTCTGAGCAAGCGCGCAGTTAATTCCGATAGGCCCGGGAGGATGTACGTCCCGGAGAAATGATTTTGAATCGCAGTCGCCCCCTCCTTTTCTTTGTGTGATTGGCGCGCTTTCCCTCGGTGGTGGGACGGTTTGGGTGTCTGTTGGGTTTGTGTTTGTTTGTTTGGGGGTTTTCTGGCTTCAGGGTTAAGGGAAGGGAAAAGGCGTAGCTCAACACACCGCACTCCAGAGCTTGTGGCTGTGCCGCTACGGTGTGAGCTAGAGACACCTCCCCGTCTCCCACCGCCCTTGCGTACTGTACAACCAGACCGTGATAAAGGAGGTATTTTAAATTCCACTCTAAAAGGCGGAGCGACTCTGAAATTAGTTGAGTTTAGCACGTTGACTCAGAAACCTTTAAATAAAACTGTCCTGGAGTAGTTGATACCGAGGTCATTTGTCGCTGGCAAAAAGTTGGGACTTTAGAGGAAAAGCAACACGGGCCTAAAGAAAACACGATTCCCAGAAACCCCACAGCAAGACCTCTCCTTTCCAACTTCCCTTTGTAAGTTTCCTACAGAAATCTTGTACTTAAAATGTTCTTCTAAAGAGAGGGGCTGGAGAGACGGATGTCTACTTGCAGAGGACCCTGGTTCCGTACCTTCATGAGAGAGCGCAATCATTCACAACGACAATTCCAGGGAATTCAGTAGCCTCTTCTGACCTCCACATGCTCCAGGCACAGATGTGCGTGTACAAACATTCCGGCAAAACACTCAAATACATTTTTAAATAATTCTAGTTAATGTCTCTGTAAGATCCAGCATAATAGTACATGTCTTTAGCTACAGACCTCTGAAGGGAGAGGAAGGCCTGCCTGCTATGCATGAGTTCCAGGCCAGCCTCTGGCTGAAAACAAAAACTAAAAACCTAAGTAAAATACGAGTGAGTAGGCCGGGCGGTGGTGGCGCACGCCTTTAATCCCAGCACTCGGGAGGCAGAGGCAGGCGGATCTCTGTGAGTTCGAGACCATCCTGGTCTACAAAAGCTACAGAGCTCTGTCTCGAAAAACCATACACACACACACACACACACACACACACACACGAGTGGGTGCCTGGCGGTAGTGCACCCCTTTAATTCGGGGGGTGGCGAAATTTGGGCTGGCAGATCTTAGTGAGTTGGTGGCCAGCTTGATCTACACAATCAAACCTACAAAAGAAACCCTCCCTCGGGGAGGGGGGAGGGGAATGAGTGGGTTAAAGGTTATTTCTTTAAGATTACTTTTTCTCTGCTTCCTGACTGGGATGGTGTGATCAGCTTCTTCCAGGTCCTGCCATTATGGACTGTGTCTAGAACTGTGACCTAAAATACACCCTTTCTCCCTTTAAAAGATTATTTTTCTCTTCTTGGGGACGGGGATTCCAGATAGGGTTTCTCTGTGTAGCCCTGGCTGTCTTAGAACTCACAGAGATCTGCCTGCCTCTGCCTCCCGAGTGCTGGGGTTAAAGGCATGCGCCGCCACTGCCTGGCTATTTTTTCTCTTAAAGTTCTCAACTGTTCTTAGTTCTGGTTATATTCTGCCACATTTCTTTAAAACCCAGATGATGTGGGCAAGTGAGTGAATTAGCATACATCTCCCAGCTTCAGTTTCCCAGCCAAGAGAACTTTGGGTCTCCAGCAGACTCTTCACCACTCCGCCCTAACCCCCACCCAGGCACAGGAACGGACGAATTGAACTTAGGACCTTTAGTCAATGCTCTCAACTACTGAGCCAACTCTCCAGCCCCCCCCCCCCATTCCTGTTTCTTTAGTAGACAATTCTTTCCTCCCTCTCTCTCTCCCTCAATCTTGTTTTTCTCTCCTTTTTGTTTTAAGGCATGTCCTTGTGGGCTGCTACCCTCCCCCTAGCTCAGCTATTGGTGGCATCAGAATTCAAAATTCAGGATATAGTCCCAGGTTGGTCCCAAAATGATTTTTTTGTTTTGTTTTGTTTTGTTTTGTTTGCGAGATACAGTTTCTTTCTAGCTTTGGCAGCTTCAGCTGACTTGGAACTCCCTATGTAACCAGACTATCCTTAAACTCATAAAGCCCTGCCTTGCCCAGTCTCTGAAGTGCTGGGATTAAAGGTGTGCACCACCAGGCACCACTCTTCCCTTGCTGTGTATTTTGGTTGTTTTCATAGTCGGCTTCCTTTAGCATTGTTGGCATTGAAATCTGACTAACTTCAGATGTCCTTAGAGGCAAAGTGACATGTAAGAATTAGTTCCAGGGTCTAGAGAGCTGGCTCAGTGGTTTAAGAACATTGCCTGCTCTTCCAAAGGTCCCGAGTTCAATTCCCAGCAACCACATGGTGGCTCACAACCATCTGTAATGAGATCTGTTGTCCTCTTCTGGCCTGCAGGCATACACACAGACAGAATATTGTATACATATAAATAAATATTAAAAATAATTTTAAAAAAAGAAACAGGAATGGAAACAGAAGGAGAGGAATATGGGAGCTGAACAAGAGACAGAAGAGAAAGCAGAGGCAGGTAGAGCTCTGTGACATTGAGGTCAGCCTGGCCTGTGTGGTTCCAGGCCAGCCGGGGCTGCATAGACCCTGCCTCAAGAAGAAGGAGGAGGAGGAGGAGAAAGGGTGGAGTGGTTCAGACAATGCCTTCAACCTGCTGGCAAGAAGGAGCACTGGGAGATTATTAAACTCCTGGGCCTGCAGATGCCTCGGGGTAAAGGCACTTGCTGCCAAGCCTATCAACCTGAGTCGCTATCCCTGGAAACCCCACGGTGGGAGGAAAGAACTGACGCCCGAAAGTTGTTCTCTGATTCCCACATTCATGCTATGGTACATGCATAACACACACACACACACACACACAATAAACAAATGTAAAAAAAGAAAAAAAAAAACGTTGAAGTCCACATGTCTTTACCGTTCAAAACCTAAACTCATCTTCAGCCACGGATCTCTTACTGACCTTCGGATCAGGATGGAAACTCTCAGCTGCTTCAGACCCATGCCTGCGCCTGCCTGCCCTCCCGGTGCCAACACTCTGCCTTGATGCTCTTAGACTCACCCTCTGAGACTGTAAGCAAATGCTTACATTAGATGTAATTACATTACGTTAGATGCTTTCTTCTATAAGTTGCCTTGTTCATACATAGTGTCTTTTTTTTCTTTTTTCTTTTCTGTACCAGGCTGGCCTCAAACTCACAGAGATCCGCCTGCCTCTGCCTCCTGAGTGCTGCGTTTAAAGTGCGCCCCCAACGCCTCGGCTTGAGCGGTATCATCATATGTACCGGGATCCCTGACCAAATAAAAGGGAGAAAGCCAGTTAACAGCCGCATCCATATCTCTCTGAGATTAGTTTAGGATTTAACTATTAAATTTTTTTTTTTAAAGCAAGGCCTTGAGGAGTGACATTTAAGGGTGTCTGCTGGCCTCCACACACGTGTGCACACACCACATGCGCTAAAGCAAGAATGAGCCACGAAAGCTCTCATACACAGTGGGTGGAGATGTCAAACCTGATAGAGTCATTCAGTGATAAAGTAAAGCAAATTCCCAGTACCCAGCAACACGAATGAACACTAAGTGTAAAAAGCCACATCCAAAGGATGTATAATTTGATCCGTAAGATGTGCTGAGAAAGCCAAAATTATCGGGTCAGAAAGCAGTCGTTACCAAAGGATGAGTGTGGGAAGAGGGGTTAGCTACAAAGGGCACGGGGGACACCTTATTACGAGGGCGGTGATGACAAGCCTGTTCTGTATCTTGATTATGGGGTAGTTACCCAAAGGATTTGTCAAAACTCATGGACGTGTACACGAAAAAGGGTGATTTTGCTGCATATAAATTATACCTCCTGAAGCCTGACTCAACTTTTTTCACAGTACAATGTTAAAAGGGAAACCTGCACCACCCACTTGAGAGTCCACTTCCAAGCAACAACTGGACAAGTGTATAAATATATATGCGTGAGAGTTTCTAACTGTTGTTGGTCAGGGGGAAAAACTGAAAATACCTTAGTCCAAACACAAAGGAAGGGTGAGATATCAGACTGGGGCTGGGGGTGTAGTCTGGTGGGAGAGCAGGTGCAAAAGGCCCTGGTATTCAATCCATAGCGCCAAACATCAATAAGTCCATGTTATTACCTTTTTTCCTTCCTTAGCCTCTCACATGACAAGCAACATCCTACCCCTGAACTCTGTCCTCAGCCCTACACTTTACAGGGTCTCCCAAAGTTGCTCTCTTAGTCAGGGTTTCTACTGCTGCGACAAAACACCGCGAAAAGCAAGTTGGGGAGGGAAAGTTTCTCGGCTTAGACTTCTGCACTGCAGTCCGTCATTAAAGGAAGCCAGGACGGACCTCACGCGGGGCAAGAGTCTCAGGCGGGAGCTGAGGCCGCAGAGGCCCCAGAGAAGCGCTGTTTACCGGCTTGCTCCTCCCAGCTTGCCCAACCTGCTTTCTTTCAGAACTCCAGCTCAGAGAAGGACCACCCACAATGGGCTGGGCTCTCCCACATCAATCACTAATTAAGAAAATGCCCTACAGGCTTGCCTGTAGCCGTTTTTGTTTTGTTTTTTAAAAATCTTTTTTAATATTTATTTATTTATCATTTATTTATTATTATTTATCATATATACAGTGTTCTGCCTGTATGTTTGCTTGCACACCACAAGAGGGCATCGGATCTCTCTGTAGATGATTGTGAACCACCATGTGGTTGCTGAGAATTGAACTCATAACCTCTGGGAGAGCAGACAATGCTCTTAACCTCTGAGCCATCTCTCCAGCCCTGTGTCAAGGAAAGTCTGTTTTGTTTTTGTTTTTGTTTTATTGAGACAGGGTTTCTCTGTAGCTTTGGAACCTGTCCTGGAA